TGCTATGTGTAAGTGGTTTTGAACTATATTTTCGTTGGGTGCCCCTATGTTTTAACGACAAGTGGTCGCCATCTTGAAACTAGGGGCGAATAACAAGGGTCTTTACATTAATTGAAGATACCAATATGGCAATGAATCTGATTTGATGGTCTAAAATTGATCAACTTTTTGCTAATTCAATTTGAAGCAATATGCACTGTGGCTCGTCCTTGGGAAGGAATCCTCATTGGTGCAGTGGGTGCTCTAATAGCATGTCCTGGATGTTCTCTTCTTGATCGACTCCGAATCGATGACCCTGTTGGCTGTGTTCCCATCCACCTCTTTGCTTCAGTCTGGGGGCTCTTGGCTGTTGGCCTGTTTGCTGAGAAAGACATTGTCGATGATAATCTTTCTAAGGAGTTCCAGGAGTTCCGAGTCGGGATCTTTAAGGGTGGTCCTTGGAGATTTTTGGGAGTGCAGGCACTTACGATTGTGGCTGTTTCCGTATGGACCGCAACTGTTACTTTTCTGGAACTGCTATTGGTCGATAAGCTGGTTGGAATGCGCGTATCCCCACAGGAAGAACTACTGGGCGCTGACAACGTTCACCATGGAATTGAACGAGGCTGTAGTCAACCCGTTTGTTTGTGTGTATCAGTCAATCCTCCTATCAACCAAAAGGGTCTGGAAACGATTTCTTGTCGATCAGAGAGACACTTTCAACGTCTGCCGACACCTCGATCGCCTTCAGGTTCTTTTTCCTTCCCAGTCCACCACCGTGTAACTCTATTGGATACCACGACCGAGCGACAGTCAGGAGACTTTTGAACTGGTGACATAGTACATTGAGCCAAACCAGTCATTACGCAGCCTTAATTGCTCACTTGTCTGAGTAAGCCTTCTCAAGACGGACGCGTTAACAGTATGATGTGTTGACTTGTGCGTAATGAAAAAGTGTTTAAATGGCCGTGAAGTGAAGACTTCCGAATGCTGACTACTGGCACCATGTCATCTTAAAGATGTCGGAAGAAATCAGATCCATGTTATTTGTTTTATTGTTTTTAATATAGTTTGTAGGATAAGCAAACAACGCGTCTTATCTTTTTGCAAGAATATGGAATGAGTATGCATCGGCAATTTTCGTGGTAAATTTAGGTGACTAAATACATGACAGCTTCTCATCTAGCGAAAATGATTTTTCATTGTAAACAATAAGGCGCAAGTAAATAACAATCAAACTGATGAAATGATGCTAGATATTATTTGTAAAAGACAAATTCACGATTCTATTTTTTTTGCTTTACTTTTGAGCTACAAAATGCGCCCAACCTACTCTCTGTCAACCAAAAGGAGAAATTTCAGTCTTTCGAGGAAAGTCGATCGTTGAAAGCTCTTTAGTTTACAGCCTTCTAGCGCTATAAAAAAAATTCTGTCAACTCTGATGCGCGAACAACGAAGCCAGCAATGAGAAAAGGTTGTGACCACGTGAGTTCACCTTTTTGGTTTGACAAACAAAGCCACGTGACCGAAGTTGTTAACATCCGGCGCCAAAATCAACTGTCAGCCATGTCTTTGAATTCGCAGTCTACCTGTTTCGGTAGTACCATGTGAGCCCTTTGTTTGTCTTCTCCCAGTGCGTCACTTTGGCTCTCTAGCACGGACCACGTGAATGACAACCCGCGCAAAGGCCTATTGATGAGCGAGGTTGTACGACCATTATGCATTTTACTTGACAACCAAACGCTCAAGAATGTAACCACGTGAGTTCACCTTTTTGGTTTGACAGCAGAGCCGCGTGCCTCGAATCGTTAACGTCTGGCGCCAAAATCAATTGTCACGCGTATCTCTGAATTCGCGGTCTACCTGTTTCGGTAGTAGAGCGGTTTTCATTTGAGTGTCGAAAAGTAATTGGTTTTGCACTTTCTACACGATGCGACTGGCTTAAAAGATTCGCGCCACCTTTTCATCCAATCGGAAGTAAAACCAAAGCCAATTGTGACGCGCTCGCATGCATTTTCCCGCGCTTTGCGTCAGCCACATGTAATTACTTCGAGTTTTGATTGGTTCAAT